TCTGATTTAAACGGATCTGTTTTCTTCAGTGACTTTCTTCGAAGTGTATCATCCTTCTTTTACGAAAACATGATTCCATGCAATAACTGTTTGAAAGCTTCAGCTGGTGCTCCAGTTATACACTGTGATGCTTGCCGTGGGCCAATACATCAATCCTGCGCTCGACTTTCTGACAATGATATGAAACTAACGAGATCAAAATCAAGAAATGTCAAATTACTCAGTGCAGTGACAGCATTAGCAAATTTAAAGACTTTCAAAATCTATTATCATCTCTTAAAAATGAACTTTTCGACACGTTAAAGAAAGTCACACATGATGTAGATGCAAAAATCGATAAATTAAAAGAAGATATTCATCGGCATATTAGCGAACAGTTTGAACTGATTTGTCAAGAAATCAATGGTCGACAAGCTCGTAAACGCAATATCATAATTTATGGAGCTCAAGAGCAAAATGGATCTCTGCCCACAAATGTGCGTAAGAACAATGATGACGACCTAATCTCCGAAATTATCTCCACAATTGCGCCTACTGTTCTCTATGATATTACTACCATCCACCATCGAAGACTTGGACGATATAATACAGCAAACACCCGCCCGCGTCCCATCAAAATTACTTTAAGCGACGAATTTCAAGTACACAGCATTATCAAAAATGCTCACAATCTCAAGAAAAATGCCAGACTTTCCGGAATATCAATCGCTTTTGATCGTACACCCAAGCAGCAAGCTCATTACAAGGACGTTCGCACCGAACTACAACGAAGAATTGCCAGCGGTGAGAATAATCTGATAATTAAATATGTCCAAGTCCTACCAAAAATTATCCAAACCCAATCGACAAGTAATCAAGTTAATTTAAACTAATTCCACCCAAATACAGCAACAATTCTGGTCTTCTAACATGTTATTATCAAAATGTACGTGGTCTAAGGTCCAAGGTCGCAAATTTTTACAACTCCATTGTCACTACTGAATATGATATCATATGCCTATCCGAAACATGGCTTACAAAAGATATTAACGATTGTAAGCTGTTTCCATCAGATTTCAACGTTTATCGAGGCGATCGCAATGTTCCAGGAGTCAACAGAGGGGGAGGCGTTTTAATTGCTCTTAAAAATTTGTTGTGAAATTTTAAATATGGACTCAGTTACTAAGGTAGCTCCCAATATTGATATAGTTGGAATTAAGGTTTCTCTTAATGATGCCGCCGATTTTTACGTGATTGTATTATATATTCCTCCGTCTGTAAATTATCAAACTCTAACAACTTTCTTCGAAACATTATCCCTATTAGATTACTTTTACAATGATAATGTAATAGTGGTAGGAGATTTTAACATTCATGAATTTAATGACATCAACTCAAGGTCCAAATATGTTCTCTTGGTTAAAGACTATCAAGAATTATTTTCTTTTACACAACATAATAACTGTGTTAATAGTAATAACCGAACCTTAGATTTAGTATTTTCAAATAATATTGTTCAAACTGTACAGAGAGAAAAAATTCCCCTTATCGAAGAGGACGTTTATCACCCCACACTTTTAATTGACCCAAATATCATCAACCCCGAAGTTCATGAAAATTTTGTTAGTGATATTTCATCTAAAAAATATAACTTTAAAAAAGCCGATTATCTAAAACTCTATGAGCTGCTACAAAATGTTAATTGGTCATATTTAGAAAAATTTAACGATGTAAATCAAGCAACGGAAGAATTTTATAACAAATTATATAACATCCTTGATAGCACTGTCCCTTTAATTAAATCGGTTAACAAAGCTCAGTCAAATAAATATCCCCCTTGGTTTACCAAAGAAACTATTCAAAACATTCGGAAAAAAGTTCACTTAGAAAAAAATTCAAAAAATATAATAATCAATATTTTTATGAACAATATAGCAAACTACGATCATTAATAAAAAGGCAAATTTCTGAATCTTTCAAGAAGTATATTAGCGAAACAGAGGAAAACATCAAATCCGATCCAAAAAAGTTGTGGTCGTATGTACAAACAAAAAGGAATAAATCACGTATTCCGAATAGAATAAAAAATTCACTAAACGAAGTATTTGATGGTTCTGCAACTGTTGTTAATGCTTTTTGTGATTATTTCTCCAACGTTTATGCTGACTCCAATTCTGATTATAAGGCTTCATCAACTGATTTTGATTCCAATTTTGTAAATATTACCTCTCTCTCAGAAAAAGATATCTGCGATTCAATAAAAAAACTGAAAGCAAAAGTTACAGCTGGTACCTACCAAATACCTGCATTTGTTATTAAAGACTGTCGATCAGTTTTTGTCAAGCCACTCTTCATTCTCTACAATTTAATATTAAAAAAATGCTTATTTCCAGATATATGGAAACAAGCTCGAATATGCCTGTTTTGAAAAAAGGAGATTCTTCAATTCTAGAAAATTATAGGCCTATTTCTATCTTATCTAACTTTTCAAAAATATTCGAATCAATTCTTTACAAATATATTTACACCTCCATCAAATATAAAATAACTGACACACAACATGGCTTTATGCAAAATAGATCAACGAATACTAATTTAGCATGTTTTAGCCAGTTTCTCCATGAGAGTCTGGATTCTAATACTCAAGTCGATGCGATTTACACCGACTTTGCTAAGGCGTTTGACCGCATTGATCATTATGTTTTATTACACAAACTTCGTTTATTTGGATTTAGTGATTCCTTAATTGAATTACTCAAATCATATTTAATCAATCGTGCTGAATCAGTAGAATATAAAAATGTTCATTCTAAATATATAATACCTAAGTCAGGAGTCCCGCAAGGTTCTAACTTGGGTCCTCTGTTGTTCCTCATATTTATTAATGATTTACCTGCAGTTATCAAATCTCAAAAACTTCTTTTCGTGGACGACTTAAAAATTTTTCGGCAAATAAATAACATAGAAGATTCTATTATCTTACAAGATGATTTAATCTCTCTTTATAATTGGTGTAGGGCTAACCTGCTGTATCTAAATATCAACAAGTGCTTGATTATGACCTTTACTAGGAAAACTAAATATACTCTTCTATACACCTATAAGATTAATAATGCCGCACTCACTCGGAAGGAATTGGAGAAAGACCTAGGCGTCCTCTTCGATAAAGAACTGAGTTTCTCTGACCACATTCATACCGTAGTAAAGTCAGCTTTTCAAATGTTAGGCTTTATATATAGGAACTGTAAACATTTTGGCAGTACAGAATGTGTAAAAATTTTATATACTGCATTCGTTAGATCAAAACTCGAATATGGTTCACTAATTTGGTATCCGATCTATGACGTCCATATTAACCGCATTGAATCAGTACAAAGACACTTCCTGAAGTATTTATTTTTTAAACATAACGAATTTTATCCGCCACGTGGCTATAGTCAAACATTACTTTTGCGTGAATTTGAATGTTTATCCCTGGAAAATCGACATGCAATACACACAATTACATTTTTATATGATCTATTACATAATTTTATTGACTGTCCAATACTGCTAATGAAAGTGAACATTAATGTTACTAGGCTTAGTGCAAGGCATCTACAAACCTTTTATTTAAACAAGCCAAGAACCAACATGCTCAAAAAATCCCCAATTAACATATTATGTAATAACACAAATTTGTACTGCAGCAATTTCGATGTGTTTTTCGATAGTTTTAGTAGTATTAAACGGCTTCTGTGCAATAACTTCGGTAGCTGACTTATTAAAGTTCTATTATTATTCCATAATTATGTATAGTTATATTTTATCTAAATTTTAATTGTATAGCATAAACTAAGTAATACCAAACCTAATTTAAGATAAGTTTACCGTTTGTTCTATCGAATATTTATATCTTTATGTCTGTTGTTTGTTGTGTTATTTATGTGTACTTTTAATTACTTAATTTAAATTGTGCCATTTAGTAACATCTAATTTTAGTCTAAAATATTTCTCTATATTTAGCATGTTTATTAACTTTTTCCTGTATTTGGGTTAATCCTATTGGAAAATAAACTATTATTATTATTATTATTATTAAAAAAAAAAATTAAAAAGTAGGATGTGGTAGGAACGGGTTTTTGCCCATTGTCGTATTTTGTTCCAAATACAGGTGTGAATACTTTCGTGTAGGCAACACATTATACAGGTCATCGGCAACACAAAAATCGCACTGACAACAAAAATGTTAAGCAATTAATAACGGTAAAATTCAAAGAAAATAGAAAAAAGTTTATTCGATCCTTACACGAATATAAATAAAATAAATAAGTATCCTATAATAAGTAGGTACTCAAACTGTCCGCCTTATCCTTCTTCACACAGCGCTAAGTGCGGTCAAAATTTCTACGTAGAGCTTATTTGAAAGCAGAAGTACACAGCAATAAAAGAGCGCAGATACCAGTATTTGAAACAATATTCAACAGAATCAGAGGCGTCGAGAACGAACTTCCTTGACTCTTCGGACCTGTTTTGTAGGTTCTTATACTAACGCGAGCAACGTGCAAACCCCAATAACAACACTAATGGTCCGCCACTGACTCGTCCATACTCTTCACCCATTTTCGCGCTTCGCGCATTTATCCCTCCCACTCGATGTACTTCTGATTTCAAATAAGCTCTAGTCTAATTACAATTTAGGGTGTTATATGAATATCTGATCCTTTCCGCTCAATTGATCTTCACTTTGAATTGGAAGGGCTGAAATAGCATGAGCGAAATCGGTTTGCCCTCAAGATGTTAAAAACCGAACTCCGATTAATCTGTATTGTTGTTACTGTAGGGCCTGGACAAATAAAATAATCAGCTTATACTCATAATCTAGAAAGAAGAAAAATATTGCTCTGTACCTCGATTTTTTTAACCAGTGGAAAACTGTCACATACTGCTGTTAGTTTTAAGCAACATCAACAGCTAGTGTTTTAATAGAAGTGACAAAGAGAACACTTAGAGGATTTTGGCATTTCGGCTAAAAAATAAGATGAAATAAAATGTCATTTATTCAAAAACCAGACAACGACTTAAAATAAACCACAATCAATGTCATAGCCTTCAAGTTCTAAGTTAAATTTATATAAACACAGTAACAAAGGAAGAGTACAGCTAAAACGTTACAATATTATTGATGATCTTAACAAGGTCTGCATTATTTAAAATCGTTACATGGTCGCCATCTATTGTAACCACTTGTGCTAAATTGTCACACATTTTTGATAACTGGTAATCATGTTGGTCGTCAACCATGGGATATTTTGCCTTGAATAAGTGGACGAATGATTTGATTTTCTTGTTCCTGAATGTATAATTCATCATGGCTTTCAAACGTTTATACAGAGTAACTGGTGCCTGTCTATCTAGCTTGTGTTTGTTAGTTGTTTCTGAAGGTATCAGAGCCAGAGCTACATCAATACGTTTTTCTAAATCTTTGGCCTTTAACAATGCTTCCTAAAAAACCAATAATAACTATTGATAACAACTAAAAAATATTTATGTTTGCCTGATGTTCTGAAAGTACATCGAAAGGAATTACGAAACTAAAAACTTTGTTCAAAATTGCCATTTCAAACTTCACATCGTCCTCACTCCCAAACATTTTTTTTACAGCAGATCGTGAATACGTTGGCGAACCATCTATCAGAATAACCGTGCCAAAATTACCTCGTTTTTCCAATAAACTAATAAGTTCTAATCCAACTACTGTTCCAAATGAATAACCGATGATGAAAAATGGAACATTTTTGGTTAAGTGACACTCAATGTGCTAAAAATTGTCATAATTTTGAAACAAAGGAAACAAGTAGGAATCTAAAGCAAACCGGAATCGTATTTTCTGCAATTTCTTGAATACAGTTTTCGGGATATTGATAGTTATATTGTATTCCTATGACATGAGCTTTCAAGGAACGGGTCAAAACTTCTAAGGGTGTAAAGATTCCCTCGCCACCTGGTAACACGAAAACTATTGGAAGTTTTTCACTGGATTCTACTTGGCTTGATAATTTAACGGTAGGTAAGTGACTAGTTTCCTTATCAGGAATATGCTGAATAAGCGAACTCGTGCCTTTCTCTGCTTTTGTATAATTATCATTTATGTTCAGCTTTTCTCTCTCCATTTCAGTCAATCTAAAACAACATTCGAACTTTGTAAGCAACTGGATATTTCATATATTAATAATAAAATGGTTTGTGCTTATAGCATATTACTTTGAAAATGTTAAACTTCGAACATCTTTGGAAGTTACGTAGATTTCAAAATCTTTTTCCAAGAGTTGAATAACTTCTGTGCCCATCATCGAATCCATACCAAGTTCTGCAAAAGTCGTATATTGACTTATAGTTTTCATGTCTTTTATTCCTAAAACATGAGCAATTGCGTCTGTAGCACTAAGAATGTCACTTCTGTGGTGTTTTTCAGCAACAACCATACTAGAAACAACCGGATAATCATGTTTTAACAACACATCTAACACTTCGAGACAACTTGAAATTTTTTGTTGTAGAGTACCACCAATCACTAACTCTTTATTCTCTTTCTGCATCTTCGCTACTAAACCAACCTTTGAAATAAGTGCAATTTAAAGAAATTTGATAAGTTATTGTTATTAGTTACATCACCGATTGCTCCCCATTGGATTGCTACAGCAGGCAATCCGTCTCGTTTTCGGTTTTCACATATTCTTTCCATAACAGAGTTTGCCATTCCATAGTTACTCTGACCCATATTACCGCGGCCACAAGAAAGTGAAGAAAACACAACAAAATATCTAAAATATGTCGTATAAAAACATGCGAAGTGTTGGCGTTGAGGGACAACCTTAATTTTGGACATAATTTTCTACTAACTTTGTCCAAGTGTACCGTAGCTCTAGCTTTTGGTATTAACGAAGTTAGAAAATTTTCTTTCGTCTGATCCTCGAATAGTGCATCTTGAAGAACAACAGCCAAGTTAAAAATTGCATCGATTTGTCCCAATTCGTTCGCCTCTTTAATTAAATTCTCACATTTTTGTTCAGTTGTCACGTCATTAGTGCAAACTTTAACTTGGACACCGTAGGATTTCCATATGCTAAAATAGCTAATTGAAACCAAAATTTATTAGAACCATATTTTTACTTTATTCTTTGCTGATGGTAGCCACTCTGAAGTCCCAATCTTGAAGACAGTACTAACTTTCTGGCACCCCTTAGAACTAACCAGTCACTTAGTTCGAAACCAATTCCACCTAGACCACCAACAATGACGTATGTGTAACGCACGTCACAATTAAACCTTCAAACAAAAGTGGTAGTCATGATTCTGTACTTAACTATAATTGCCACTTCCACCGAGATCCTCACGCTAGGAAAATTTAGAACAACATTGTAAGGCAAATTGTATAGTAATTAAACCAATTTTTGGTTGCTCAAAAATTGCAAGAATATTTTTATTTAATATTGTTTCTAGTATGACGGTGACGGTGGTCGAGTCTCGTTTGCTGAAGAAAAGCCTGAAGTCTCGATTGCGGGGTCCAGAAAAACCTCGAAACGGCGTTTGCGAACCATCCAGAGAAATGTATGGGTTTAAATAGAGGCCGTCGTCGGGAACGAGGTAGTCTCAGTCACCGAGTCCAGTAACGACGGATGTTAAGTTTCCCACGCCGGTCTTAATTATCGATCATCGTAACAATCTTATTTGTAAACGAAACAGAAATTACTTTTAATGTGTCCCAAACAAAACTAGACCAACATCTAGTCGTTTTAGTTGTCATTAAACATTATTCTATTCAAAAATGCAGTAATATATGGTAGTGTATGACTTAGCATCTCGAAAACAAATTAAGCAACTTACCGTGGATTCGAACTGATTTGTAGTTTATCGACAACGTCAGAGTTCCTATTATCTTCTTCACTCCGAAGTTTAATCAAGATCCTCCCAATATGTTTACCTGTCATCATATATCTATACGAATCCTCCACTTCAGATGCATTAAACAAAATCCTAGGTAGAGGTTTTACAAAACCGACTTTGATTCCCTCCAGTATGTACTTTATCACTTTTGACATCGTTTCCGGAGCATTGTCAAAGAGTTTATCTACTAGTATCCCATGAAAACTAGCTTCTTTTTCCATGAACAAGAGATTTAAAGAACTGTCATTGGCCATATCGTATTTGCCTATTTCCAAAAACTGCCCCTTTCGTGCTAAACATTTAACTGAAGCTTGCAGCTTATCCTCACTTAAAGAGTTGAGAATAAAATCAACTCCTCTACCTTTAGTTTCTCTTTTGATCATTTGTTGAAATAAAGTGTCTCTTGAGTTTCCTATGTGGCTAACTGGAATTTGAGAGAAATGCTTTTTTAAGTAGGCTCGTTTTTCTTGATTTCCAACAGTTACGTAAATGTCGCATTTATAGTGAACACAAACGTTCAAAGCGGCCAATCCAATACCACCAGTCGCAGAGTGAATAAGAATTGAACAACCTGGTTGTATATTTCCAACCTGTAAAAGAAAATAGGTATTACTGTAGTACATTTGAAGCGATATGTCTACAAACGTACCATTAAAAGAGCATTTATAACAGTAGAGTATACAACAGGAACTGTGGCTGCTTCTTCGAGGGTCCAAGATTCAGGTACTTGCCAAATTAAGCCAGGATCAACAATAACGTGGGATGAGATCCCTTGATTAGAAGTAGTTCCAGCAATTCGGCGTCCTCTACAATTCAGTTGTATGATTTCTTACTTAAAGTAAAAGTCAATCCAACCTTAAATCCTTTCCTGAGAATTCAAATCCTACCAACAATTCTTGCTCAATTCGATGGCTTAATAACACTTCAGGGTTCACACGAGCAGAGGCAGCCATTATATCTTTAAAGTTCACTGACGAATAATGAGACTAGAGAAAATTGTCAATTTTATACATCACGCGTGTGTCGTACTGTAACTTACCAAAGCCAAAGTTCGCCCTCCTTCGAGGGGCACGTCTTTCTTTAAAGGTCCTTCCAACCATTCAAAACTCGATATATCTCCTCTATTTTTGAAATACGCATATGAGTGTTCGCTGTAGACCTTGGCTCTTTCTTCCAAACGGAGATGTCGGTAAGTTCCCCACGATCCATTCTTATAAATATTAACAGCCATATTTTTACTGACTTGTTTAACATAAAACAAATGTTGGGGATCAAACTTCGGAGCACCGTCCATTATTAAGAAACACTTCAGTAGGTTTCCTTTGGGTTCTCGCCTGATGCAATTTATCAAACCCAATATTCTTTCAGGTTCTCGATTTGTTCCATAAGCTATAATACTTTTTTCGAAATTTAACGCGTTTTGGAGTTCCGTTATCCAGTCAAAATTACTCGAAGATACTTCAACGTGTTTGGGCTTAACAGTTTCCTGTTTTCTTCTCAACAAAATAATTCTTTCGTACGGTGTCTTATAGTCTGTGAGAATTTCTACGTCATCGTTATCTTTTTCTAGTCTAAAGTTTATCTCCTCCCGTGTTAAGATAAATCCGTTTTTGCTAAGAGGTATGAAAAATTGTTTCAAAGTTTGTGACTGTTGTAAAATTTTGCTGCCAACGTACAAAAGTATGTCACTTTCTGGTGTTAAAGTAACCATTTCGAATTTTATGCCAGGTATATCAGAGTTTGATGCTTTTGTCGAAACGGTAAGATCAGGAGTAACTAGCGCAACATCCTCTAAGGCTTTATGGACTAAACACAATATATGTTCAGAATTGGTATCAGTAAATTCGTCAATAATTTCCACAGCTTTAAAACGATACTCTAAACTATTTTCTAAAATAATTTGTGTATTGATTCTCACAGCTTGTTCCAAATCTAAAGTCGTACTATTTGGAACGAAAACGTGTTTTTCCAAAACTGGTTCCAATCTTGCTTTTTTTCTAAAGGTAGACTTAACGTAAACGCCGTGTATTTCAACTCCACCAGATCTAAATGAATTAAAATTTTACCGTGACTGTATATTACTGGATACCTTATTTACTTAATCAGATTAGAGTTTTTGTTAATATATGCAGACAGAAAACACTGTTGTCCATTTTGGCTTTCGACTACTTGTTTGTGTTTGATGGGGTCAATGATAATCTTCTTAATGCCAGTGGGAACGTAAAGCAGTCTCGAATCTGTTTCAAGAATTTTAAGTTGAAGCATATTATCCATAAAGGTACCCCAGTTGTCGTCCCACTTAATTAAACCCAACGACGCATCTACATTATATGTTTTTATAGCTTTGAACAAACCGCTACAAAAGAATTTTAAAAATCTGCATTTTCCTAAAAACCACTGACCTGTGATTATAGCCCCTTAAATGAAATTCTCGGTAAATATCGTCTTGTTGCAACGTCTTCAATTTATCATCTTTCAAAGTATCATTAGACGAAAGGTTTATTTGTTGCCGATCTGAACTCGAACAAGTGGTGATACGCCCTCTAACTACCAAAGAATTTTTTTCGAGGATTTCAAAATTCCCTGTACCTCTTTGCAGCATTACGAGAAGATTTAGGTAACCAGTGTTAGGCATTGTAGTAGCCCTTATAAATTTGCAGTTTTCGAATTTTACAGGCAGAGCATCAATTGTTTGTTTTCGAGAGTGGGCAAATGTTTGCCAAGCCAATCTTAGATATTCGGTAGCAGGGAAAATATTCCGTCCTAGAAGTTTTTTTTTCCAGTTAGTAAGATAAAAGTTTTATTTTAGCTTACCGTTGATAACGTGGCCTTTCATGAACTCATATTCTTCGTTTGCATATGAAATACTATACTCCATTTGTTCATTACCAGTTGAAGTAAATCTTTTAAACTCGTATATTTGCCACGACATTTTGTGATCCCACCGAATGAAAGGTGCAATCATGGAGGTGTTTCTACTTACAGGGAATTCCACTTGAGGGAAGATTTTTTGAACTTGAAGAAGGTAACCTTCTTGATATAATCTACAAATTCAGTATATAGTTTTCAGATTTCAGAAGTTGTAGTTTTTACCTTCCTACTACATCCAGGAAACTCACTTTACCATTTTGTATCAGTAAGTTATCTTTATCGGTGATCGGCAGGTCTGAAATGTTTAGTATTATCGTGCTTTTAGATATATTATTGAAATTTTCAAAGTTGTAGTAATCATCTTTCATAAATTCTTGATTTTTCAAATAAGCTGAGTTTTGTATTGTTGGAAAATTCATGTTGCTTAATTTTATCGCGTCTAATACGGCATCTTCCAGTTGAATAACTTCATTGCAATATGAAGACACAATTGTGCCAAAGACATCACCAGAAACACTGCTAGGAAACAATTCTAATTTTTTGAAGATATCTACTAAGAGTAATTGTAAACATATTGAACCTAAGATATTTTCATCTCCTTTTGTTTCCAATTCTAGAATCTCTTCAAGTGTTTTTACGTTATTAGCCATCAAGATTTTATTAAATCTTCAACCAAACATTTTTTAGTCAACAACCGATAAAGAGATATACACTCACCTCGTTACGATGTCTCTGAAAGCTACAAATTGCAATAAATAAGAACCTAGTAATTTAACATTTTCGACAAATTTTCCAAAAAATATCAGCAAGCGTGGTTGCTTAAAAGGCAAACGTTTTGATGACGTAGATAGAACACCAGTTTTGGAAACTATTGCATATCCTCGATATAAGTGATTTGGAATATTCTTCCTATATAATTCATGGAGAAGACCAACATATTCTGCATCCAAGCTTTTGTTGCTAAAGTCGTTTAAAATTGTCAAAACGGCTTCATCAGTGTGTCCACTGACGCAAATTAATCTAGGAACATCATCTTTTGGCAGTCCACCATTGATTTTGGGTTTTTTAAACCTTTGCAATATAACGTGAGTGTTGCTGCCCCCGAAACCAAAGTTGTTAACACCTACAATTGTATCCTGTCCTAAAAGCTCAGTAGCTTCTGTCACAACTTTCATTCGATTTTGTTCAATCCCTTCCAGCCCTTTTCGAAGTCTTTTCAAGTTAATATTAGGTGGGATAAATCCGGTTTCCATTGCAATCAATACTTTTATAACTGAACACAGACCGGATGAAGGTTCTGTGTGGCCCATGTTTGATTTTACTGAGCCTATGAGAAGTTGTTGTTCACATTTTTTCGCCAAAGCCTTATCTATAGCCTTCACTTCTTCAGGATCACCAGCTTTAGTGCCAGTACAATGTGCTTCGAAGTATCTCAGTTTTGAAAGACTAATATTACTTTCTCGATATATCTCAGTCAAAAGCTGTTCTTGCGTTAGCGATGAAGGATGTGCTATCCCTTCATTTTTAAAACCGTCGCAATTTCCTTTCACGTTAATAATTTGTGCGTAAATTCGTTTCACGTTTTTAGACTTTTGGAGGAAAAGGCATACAGAAGCTTCGCTTCGGACGAAGCCATCAGCATCCACATCGAACACTTTACAAAGACCGTCGTTGCTCAGCAGGAACGAGCTAAAATATATTGATGTAATAAGACTTATTTATATACAAGAATGTTATATCTTAAATAATTCAGACGAAAATATTATTCGGAATGCTTTTCTTATATGACTCATCTAAATATAACTGAGCCCTATTAATCTTCCTATCACTTGAAATCTATCACATCAAGACATCAATTTTATACTTCTGTAGTTGTTGGAATTTATTTTTTGTCTTTTTTGTATGTATGTATCTAGTCTCATTTCCCAGTCCGTCGGTATTTTCTCATCTATCCATGCTTTATTGACTGCTGCTAGCAGCATCTGTGTCTCTACTTCCCTCAAGTATTTAATCATTTCCCATATTATCTGGCCTGATTCTGGCACCTTTCCACTCTTAATTCCTTAATTGCGTTTTTGAGTTTTTTCTATGTTATTTTTTCTACAAGTTGATCTTGATTCGTCTTCCTTTTTTTAACAGATCTTGGAACTGTTCTTTCCATTGTTCCATTACTTTCCTTTCATCTGCTATAATTCGTCCGTTCTTGTCTAAGATGTTATTTCTTTGTTTTTTAACTGTTTCATCCAACCCCACAGAGAAAAATCACACGGATTGAGATCGGGTCAACGCGGGGGCCAAGCTACTGGGCCGTTTTTACCAACCCACTCTTTAGGAAAATGGTTATTTAACCATGCAGTTACCGGCCTAGCAAAATGTGGTGGTGCTCCATCATGCAAGTACCACATGCGAAATTGTGCACCTAGAGGTACTTCCACATCTAGCTGCTCTTCCAACACATTGTTTAAAAACTCGCTTTTGGTCTATTAGGTAAAACAGAAGATATCGGGCTCTTCTTGACACGTTCCAAAATTTGTTCTTCAGCTTGCAGTATTCTTTCGGTCGTATCGCGCCCACGCGTTTCGATCAGCCACACCATCAAGCGCTGCCATTGCGATATACTATGTATGTATGTATTATGGGTTGCATAGGAATAGAGAGTTGATATATTAAATTAGTGAAATGGGGGCGTGCATTTATCATCCCTGAAATCCAGCATCAAGTGTAACAAACACTCAGGACAGTACAACTATATCGACACGCTCTGAATTGGAAAAATTCACCATTATCAAAGACGTTAACCGAACACACGACGGCAACCATTTTTTATTGGACACATTTCAAAATCACCCTGTGTCTCACTCACTTAATACGTTTAAAGTCACCATAATTATAACAACTTCATTAATAGGATTTGGATTAGGAAATTATCTTACACGTACGTACCCATAAAACTGCATTGTCGTTCCAGGATGAAGAGTTAAGTTACAGCAAGCGACTATTGCATTTTCGCATTTGCCGTTTCTCATAGCTAAAAATGCCGAATGAAGAGCATTCCCAGAACTACTACAAGCGGTGTCAACTGAAAATGACGGTCCTTTTAGTTTCAGATGATAACTAAGACGATGAGCAATTATCGATTTAAGGCATCTGAAAGTAATCATTATTGCAATGAAGATTTGTCTTATTAAGCTATATTTTTTATATTAATTGTTGCTAAAATGTGATTTGTAGTAATCGACAAGGGCCTTAACGGACACATAATAATTTTGTTACCCCACCTTTCGATTTTGCTCCAGAAATATTTTACTAGAATAAAAAACAGGGACGTAGAGAGGTCAGGTAAACTATTTGCAAATAACGCTTAACAAAGACATTTGATTTTCTGCTGATTTATTTAATTCATTTATTATTTACGTAACTATAAATTGAAAAGCATTGCTAAAATTTGCTTACCCTGTTATTGCAAAGTTTTGCGGTCCCTTTAGGTTTATGAGGATAGGATTTTCAGCATCTGACCAAGAAAGACCCAAAAATACGCCGGTCTTAGATCCTTCTAACTCTGATGGGTTTATTCCAGCATCCATAATAGCTTCAATAACAGTTTTCATAATAACTCCCAAACCAGGGTCCATAAAATTAGCTTGACGGTAATGCAGTCCAAAATACCCAGCGTCAAATTTGTTAATATTATCAATGTGACCACTTTTTTTCGGTACATTGTCAACGTCAACTTTCCATCTTTTTTCGTTTTCCGAAACCATCTGCTTTTTGTTAAATAGGTTATCGCGAAATTCGTAAATATTTTCCGATTCTGGGAAACGACCTGATACCCCAGATATAACCACTTCTTCCCCAGGGGGTGGAGATGATAACCAACGACCATATTGAAAATTGGGATTTGATGATTCATTTTCTATAGTTTTATTGAATTCCATTGTCCACTTAAATATAAAACGATAAAAACTTGGAACTGATTTCGTAGAATACGCCACGATGTATGTGAAAATGTGTATAACAACCACATTTATAAAGTGCATAACGGAAATGAAACGGAATTTTTAAGCATTTTGGTACATTGAATTGTCCCACTAGGACGGCTTTGAATTATTTATATGTTGACTTACTTTAATCAATATCACAATTTGTAAATACCGTCTGCAGTTTCAAGGCGTTTTAAAATTTTCAATCGCCAGAATTATACTAAATTGGCTGCATTAGACTTCCTTGAACAACAAGTACATGACAAAAATACGTGGATATTATATAAAAGGTAGTATACTCGCAAAAATATAGAGTTCCATAAGAACTAAACGTGGGACTGGCCAGTTTTAACGAATATTCGATGGTAAATAATGACAAGAAATATAAAAACAAAATGGTCTAAAGTTGTTTCGACAGAAGTACTTTCGAAGATTCTTTGTCTAATGAAAATCCCGGACGGTAGACAGACGGACAGATGGACAGACAGACAGACGGAAACGGGAGACAATACTTCCTTCGCTTACGTTCGGGAAATAAAAATTATATAGTCCAAAGTTATTTGCAGGGAAGAATTGTTTTTGTATCGTTTTATTTTGCTTTAAACTTTAATTTTATTAAATTACTTTGTTGTGTAATCGTTTTAAATTTCTTTTTTTTTTATTTTAAGGACGTCATACTCAAATAAATAACATCTTATAATCTGATTTATGATTGAAAAGACAAAAAAGGACACTATTTAATGTATTGAAAACTTATACCATTTTGTATTTAAAAAAAGAAAATTGATGTCATTTCCGGCGAAAGTGAAACCAATACGACGGACGTAATCTATCCATTTAATAGACTGTGTTTCATAATATACCTATTGAACATGCCAAATTTCAATTTTTTAATTTTTTGGCATATCCGGTATAGTAATTTTTGGTAAAGATCAATGATGTCAATAACGTGAGACTATATCAGGATTGACTTAGACTAATTGTCCTAAAGGAAAGCATTTTAGACATTCGTCGCAGTAACTCAATTAACTTCCCTTTGAACTTTTTTATCATTTAAATACAATAGTAAATTGATTTTGCATATCTTGACAAAAACATATTTTGTGTGTAAATTACTGTAAATATATTTGCTAAATGCTTGCGTTAAAAGAAGGGGGAGGCCTAGAGAAATTTTTGCCTCCCCTAGATCTGGACCAGTTATAATTAACCAAATGTGAATTAAAACATCGAAAATCAAAATAAAATGAAATGTTTGTTTTAAATTTTGAGTACTTACAAGTGGTTTTAATTTCACTTGCAACTCTGCTACTACACATGGCGGACGTGATTAAATTGTTCCGCTACTTTATTGAGTAAATCAAGATTCAAGAACGACTCACTGCATTTTTCCGAAAATTTGGAAATACAGTATTGTTATTAGTATTACATTGCAATCATTGCATCTATCTAAATTGATATAATTGTCATTACAAAAATGTTCATGACGTCATCACAAAATTTTGTAATGGGAAAACTCACTTGCAATAAACGCGTAGCACGCTTCTTTACCTTTACTAAAACACTACATACATATCTTTAATTCAACTTATAAGAGTTATTAGAAATAAAAAGAGTGCGTCGACCCAGGGACGCACGGATTGAGTTTTAACTTTGCATTGTCAATTTATACTTATAAATTAAACACGTATACGCGGCGAAGTCATTAATTTTCTCTTAAAAAATAATAAAAACCAAAAATATGTTGCATTTGTATTTTATTGACGAAATGATGATTAATGATGATAATTGGGTTAATTAAAGTAAATATCCATGTATTGCCAATTGTTGTTTATTATAAAATACACTTTTTTTTATTTATCATATAGAAATATCATAATTAATTATTAATAGAATAATATTGTATAAAAAAAAATTAAAGTACAATGTGTAATTTACCAACCAAAGTAATAAGTAAATATTTATAAATGCTAGAGCAGTATTTATAACTTGATATAAATATCAGTTCTTAAATAAATCATAAAACGTGTGAAAACGGCATCAATTGTTGTACCTAATTTAGTCGTTGGAGCAGTCAAATGAACACATTTTATGAAACAGTTTATTAAATAGTTTATTTTTAGGTACTCATATAAAAAATATTGTTTGCTAATTTCTATATTAGAAAGCTTATTATTAAATTCTCTAATCAAAGTATTTGCAGATATCTAAAAAAACATCAACATTAGTTACTTAAATTTGTCGTGACTTTTCTCAGTTTCTGGTGGTTCTCTTTCACTACTATCCATTATCACAACATTGGTATCATGAAAATTAGGTAAGGTCAAACTCGGTACGGCTCATACGGGATGGGAATTCATTGCAGTTACGGGCTGCACTTCTTTATTTGAAAATAGAATAGCGTCGCTTCGGTGCACTTTGCTGTTAATTCCCGTTTTCATTTACTTAGCCGTTTTACTAATTACGTTTTCGTTAATTGTATTTATGAAAGAAGTGACAATTAATTCAGTGATTATCACTCGCTACGGAGTCCCGGCGATCCAGCGCGCCATGATTACATTTACGGTGGCACAATAAAAGCTGGTAAAGATCAGAGGCTCTGTAGCCTAGTGGTCAAGGCATCTACCCGGCAAACGGGATATGTGTGGTTCGATTCCGCACCGGAGCAGCAAACATTTTTTCTTCGCTTACCTACACATTCACGCCAGTTTATCACTCTCTCTTTCTATAGCGCGGCGTTACATGCCTATGCTCAGACACAGTTTAGACTGGTGTCAGTGTCGGTATGGAAAAACGTTAGCTTGTAGCTCGAACTCGACATCCTACACCGGCGCATGTCGTATATGTGTTCTATAATACGAAATGAAAGGAGTTAACATTCCAAAAAATCGAAACAGCTATATTCGATGTACTGTACAATTCTATAGAGTATGTCTCTTAAAAATATGTTTCGGATCAATGTCCTTTTTCTAGGCTTTGTTAGCCTTCGCCAGCGCTCTCCTTCATGGAAACGATCGTCACCAACCAGAACGTGAGAGTTGACACATATAGCCTACACGTTAGCGCTTCTTTGAGCCCTTATTCAGCCCCATTCAGGCGTGAACAAATAAAATAATATACAAAGAAGAAAAACATTGATCTGTACATCTTTTTTTTTTATTTAAATTAAATTTATATAAATAAAGTAACAAAGGAAGAGTATAGCTAAAAAGTTACAATGTTATTGATTCCCTTGACAAGGCCTGCATTGTTTAAAATGGTTTCATGGTCGCCATCTATTGTAACCACCTGTGCTAAATTATCACACACTTTTGATAACTGGTAATCATGGTGGTCGTCAATTACAGGATATTTTGCCTTGAATAAGTGGACGATGGATTTGATTTTTTTATTTGTGAATGTATAATTCCTCATGGCTTTCAAACGTTTATAGAGAGTAACTGGTGCCTGTTTATCTAGCTTCTGTTTATTACTTATTCCTAAAGGTATCAGAGCCAGAGCTACATCAATACGTTTCTCTAAATCTTTGACCTTTAACAATGCTTCCTAAAAAACTAAGAGTAACAACCCATAACAACAAAAAATATTTATGTTTACCTGATGTTCTGAAAGTACATCAAAAGGAATTACGAAACTAAAAACTTTGTTCAAAATTGTCATTTCAAACTTCACATCGTCCTCACTCCCAAACATTTTTTTTACAGCAGATCTTGAATACGTTGGCGAACCATCTATCAGAATAACCGTGCCAAAATTACCTCGTTTTTCCAATAAACTAATAAGTTCTAATCCAACTGCTGTTCCAAATGAATAACCGATGACGAAAAATGGAACATTTTTGGTTAAGTGACACTCAATGTGCTAAAAATTGTCATAACTTTGAAACAAGGGGAACAAGTAGGAATCTAAAACAAACCGGAATCGTATTTTCTGCAATTTCTTGAATACAGTTTTCGGGATATTGATAGTTATATTGTATTCCTATGACATGAGCTTTCAAGGAACGGGTCAAAACTTCTAATGGTGTAAAGATTCCCTCGACACCTGGTAACACGAAAACTATTGGAAGTTTTTCACTGGATTCTACTTGGCTTGATAATTTAACGGTAGGCAAGTGACTAGTTTCCTTATAAGGAATATTCAGAATGAGCGAACTCATGCCTTTCGCTGTTTTTATATAATCATCATTTCTGTTCAACTTTTCTCCTTCCATTTCAGCCAATCTAAAACAACGTAATTACGTTTGAACTTTATAAGCAATTGGATATTTCATATATTAATTATAAAATGGTTAGTGCTTAATAGCATATTACTTTGAAAATGTTAAACTTCGGGCATCTTTGGAAGTTACGTAGATTTCAAAGTCTTTTTCCAGGAGTTGAATTACTTCTGTAACCACCATCGAATCCATACCAAGTTCTGCAAAAGTCCTATACTGACTTATAGTTTTCATGTCTTTTATTCCTAAAGCATGAGCAACTGCGTCTGCTGCACTAAGAATGTCACTTCTATAGCGTTTTTCAGCAATAACCATACTAGAAACTACCGGATAATCAGTTTTTAATAACACATCCAACATTTCAAGACAGCTTGAAATATTTTGTTGTCGAGTAGGGGAACTAGGGGCTTGTTGTAACAGGGGTAAGTTGTAACACTAAATTTTTACCCACAATTTAAACTCTTTAACGTCAGGTATTTTACTGAATTTAATTTTTGCACCATAAGACATCATGTCATCACAACCACTGTTCCTTGAGCCAGCGCAGTAAGTGGATGTGTGCACGTGTCTCGTTTTGGCCAAGTAATGTAAAATATTGCTTTAGTAAAATTTGGTGTTTCGTATCAGTTATTAATTAATTTAAAACTTTTAGTTTTGCATGTAGCTCAAAAATTACTCAGCTTTGATATTCCTTACACACTTTGACGCTAAGCCACATAATTTTGACGAAATGTAATTAAATGTAGAAAATTGTGCTACGGGGCATGTTGTAACAATAGCTTTGGGGT